CTCAATGGCTAGAGCATCAGCCTGCTGACCAAAGGGTTCTGGGTTAGATTCCCAGTCAAGGGCACATACCTCAGTTGCAGGTTCAATCCCTGGCCCCGGTTGGGGCTCATTTGAGAGGCAACCAATCAATGTTTCTCTCTCTCTCTCTCTCTCTCTCTCTCTCTGTTTGTCTCCTCTCTCCCTTCCACTCTCTAAAAATCAACTGAAAAAATATCCTCAAGCGAGGATTTAAAAAAAAAAAAAGTGGTGCTGAGATGTAAATCCAATGTGATGAGATGAAAAGAGAGATAGACAGGGTAAGAAAAATGAACAAGTAGTTTATTTATTTATTTTTAAACATATCTTTATTGATTTCAGAGAGAGGAAACAAGTAGTTTATAAAAGAAACAGAATTAAACTACACATTGGAGACAGTAAAGAGGAAAATTTATCTGGCAGAAAATTGAACTCAGTGTCAAGAAGAAAGCTGATGCTAAGAAATTGAATGGAGTTAAACAGTCAGAGATGGAAACAATGAGAGAGAAGATGATAGGATAGCTATGGAGAAAGAGTGAAGAAAATAGAGAACCAACATATGGATAATTTGTGTTCCTAGAAAAGGAACAAAGACAAATGAAAGAGAAGTAATAAAAAGAAAATAAAACAGACATTTTCTGTTCTTCAACATTTTCCTGTTGAAGAACAGTGTATGTTGATTGAAAAGCTAACTATGTTGTAGCAAAGTCAATAAAAAAGGACCTACAACTAGAGACATCATGGCAGAAGTTTTAAGCTATAATATTAAAGTGTCCATAATTGTTCAGGCAAAAAATATGAAATCATATTGCCCAGATAAAAAACAAACATCAGTCTGTCTGACTTATATCTAGAATTTTTTTTTATCCTCACCAGAGGATATTTTTTTTCATTGCTTTTTTAGAGAGAGTGGGAGGGAGAAAGAGAAAGAGAAACATCGATGTGAGAGAGACGTATCAATTGGTGCCGGACCGGGGCTGGGGATGGGGATCGAGCCTGCAACCGAGATACCTGCCCTTGACCAGAATCAAACCCAGGACCCTTCAGTCCGTAAGCTGACACTCTAACCACTGAGCAAAACTGGCTAGGGCCTCATATTCTACTTTTAAACAGCTACAATTCTTTCTTTCCCCAGGTGTGGTGGGGGGTGGGGGGACTTTCCCTTTCAAAGTTCTTCTGGCTGGTCTAATAATCAAATAGACATGAAACACATTAGCCAGAGAAAATAATCAAGTTTAATAATACACATGTATGTAAACCCTGTATACATGAGAGAGTCAGAGACCCCACATGCACAAGAGGTTCAGAGAGAGAGAGAACATGGGTTTATAAGACATTTGAGCTTGGGATGAGAGGTAAGGTGCCTTGTGAGCTTCAAAGGTTCATTGCAGAATGATAAAAAGAGCAAATGTTTAGTAATTAGAAGTTTGCCCTGCCTTATAGTCGGATCAAAAGAGGTTATCTTTGATAATCTCTTATTATGAGAAAGGCCCCTAATTCAAGTTCTCCTAGGTAGTTAAGGGAGGGGCAGAAATTTCTCTTGAAACTGAAACTAAAATCTTTAGCTCAAAATAATCTGCATACCACAGAATCCCATCTCGGGGTGGCTCATTCTGAACCCCCACACAGGTGACATGATCCTTTTCTTCTCTGTGTGTATTGTGTCTCTGTGTGTTACAGCACTTTATGCATACTTGATAAAAGCTGGGAACAACCCTATTATGGACTGAACTGTACCCCTCCCCAAATATGAAGTCTTAACCACCAGAACCTCAGAATGTGACCTTATTTGGAAATAGGGTTGTTGCAGACGTAATTAGTTGAGATGAGGTCATAATGAAGTAGATGAGGTCATGCTAAACCCTTAATATGACTGGTGTCCTTATAAGAAGAGGGAAATTTGAACACAGACATGCACAGAGGGAAGACAGATGTGAAGTCACATTAGGGACTATGGCTATGTGATCACAGCAATGCATCTAGAAGGATTGCCAGCAATCACCAGAAACTAGGAAGTGGCAAGGAAGGATTTTCCATCCAGGTTTCTGCCAGAAAGGCTGCTTTGTGGGGGCTCTGCCATACCAGCCCTTGTGTTCTGTGAGACTGTTCTTCCATCTTTTTTTTTTTTAAACATATCTTTATTGATTTCAGAGAGAGAGGAAAGGAGGGGAGAGAGAGAGAGAGAAACATCAATGATGAGTCATTGATCGGCTGCAGCCCGCAACCCGAGCATGTGCCCTGGCCGGGAATCGAACCCTGATCTCCTGGATCCTAGGTCGATGCTCAACCACTGAGCCACGCCCGGCCTGGCTGTTCTGCCATCTTTAAAAGGAGGGGATCTGTCTAGAGCAGTGTTTTTCATAGCCCACCCCACCCTACCCCAAGTTGCATCTTTGAGCTTTCATTTTGTGGAATTGGGGGTGAGGGCGAGTTTGGAGAGAAAGGGCTTTCAGATTCCACTGGGCTATGGACCCACAGGTCTGTATCAACTGAAGTAGTTGTGCTGCTGTCTCACATATTTCTTTTCTAAAATCCTCTGGATTGAAATAGCTGCTCCCAAGCCAGAGCCAGATACCTGGGGAGTTTAAACAATTCCGTATTCCAAGGCCTACTTCTGGGGACCATTCATTTGTCCCTTTGTCAAGTTCCTCCATGGATCCTGGTAGATCCTGAGGTGCTGGCTCTTAATGATCAGTGATTCTAAACAAGGCCTTTGGTGATGGTGGTTGGGAGGTGGTGGTGGCTGGAATTGTGCTTCTTGCTTCTTGTTTGTACATAGATTAAACAGAGTGATACAATGGCTCTAAATCTAGGCTTCCTCTGAGGTAGAATCCTAAGGAAACTTAAACCATTTGTTTTTACAGACAGGATGAGTTTCTGGAAGGGCACTTGGTAGATAATAAAGTGCTGTGCACAGATGGGGAAAATGTCATTGTGAGGATGAATGTGTTGACCCCCACCCAGCAGGGCCAATGAGTATCATTAATAACAAGAGCTGCCCTTTATTCCAAGCATGGAACCATTCATGTGCTAGGTCTCATGCTAAGGAATTTAAACCTCACAACCACCCTGTGAGAGATGGTCTGTCACTGCTTTCATAGGTGAGGAAACAGAGGCTCTGGGAGCCCCCAGGTCACAATGAGAGGAGGTATCAAAGATGACAGGACTATGTCCTAGCCAGCAGCTTCAGCCTTCGAAGGCAAGGCCCCTAAGAGAAATCCTTGAGGCCTGGTGTCAGGCCTGTTCTTTCAGCACTTGCCCTGGATGGAGAAGGGGATTAATGTCCCTTTTCTCAAAGGCTGGCTGGCATCACCAGGGGTACCTTGAGGCTTTGGTATCTAGTACAGTACTTGAAAAAATATTTTTAAACTTTATATAGTGGAATCATTGCTTTGAAAACTATTTTATGTGTAAATCCAATCTAGAAAACCAGAGTTGGGCCACTGTGGTTGAAGGTAAAGGCAGGGGTGGCCTGAGACTTCCTCAAGGCCCTCAAGGCTTCCAGAGCACCCATGAAAGCTACTTATCCAGTAGGTTGGCACTTACATCCTGCAGGGAGTGTCATGATATCTAAGGCTTTGGCTTTGGCATGGGAAGAACTAGGCGGGACTCTTGCTGCAGGTGTA